ACCATAAACCTCATCATAATAAGGGAATGTACACTCATACAAGGTACTCCAATTCTGAGATTCACCAAAAATGTCTTTAAAGCCTGTTCCATACCGATGATGTCTGATATTGCTTAGAAGCTCCCCAACCAATTAATGACTTTACTCTTAAAAATTCAATTACATTTTCCCTACATTCTAGGTATTTGTTTTTGCACACACATGCATGTGCGTGAGGGCATGCGTGTGCACACACATGCACGCACACAGGAACGAGGCTGATTGACTTGCATTCCATCACTACTGGGGATGAGCCCAGAGTTGAGGGGGGAAAAAATGACAGCATTTTGACACATCAACCTCTTGCTGGGTTGCAAGTGTCTAGTCACTAAGAGACTCTGAGAACTACATGCAAGAAAGAAGTTATACCCTCTTCTTCCATGAGCATGGAAGAGTCCAAAGCAATTTCTTCCTACCCTGTTCCCAGCCGTTAGCCTCTCCCAATGTTCTTCCCTTGCTCTAAGGTCAGAGTCTTAGGACTTCAGTCCATATGGCCTTGCATGGGTGGCCAGCCCTGCAGCTCCCTTGGCTCCAATTTCATTTCAAACCCTTCACGCAGAAGGGCTCTCCGTTCAGGAGGGTGGGAAACTGCACATGGAGGTACTCCGCAGCTGCTCCCAGCTGCTACAAAATGAGGATTTCTCCTTATAGGAACCGAAAGTGCCTCTGCTCAATTTGTCTCTCCAATGGCCTCGAAAAATAAGGCCATGATCACTAGAGACCATAAGATTTCAAATTTTGTTAAAGTCAAGGGAGTACTAACTTCATACCCCAAGCTGAGTAATCTTTGATCTTCCTATACACTAAAAAGTGCTTCTAGTGATGTTCTTCTCTGCTGAAATTGTCCAGACTTATCAAAGAAATGAAAATATACGAAGTAGACATGCCAGAATAAGAAACCCTATAATGAGTACTTCCTATTTTATACCAAAATAAGAGACTAACGTGTCATAAAATCTACTTATATATGTGTTTATATGTACATAGACACACAGATAGAAAGACAGACTCATAGCAGGATTTTTGCGTTTGCAGGTTCCTAATTCACAGATTCATAATTACAGATAAAAAAAAATATTCAGAAACTAAGCCAGGCAGTAGTGGCACATTCCTGTAATCTCAGCTATTCAGGAGGCTGAGGCAGGAGGATCATGAGTCTTAGGCCAGACTGGGGAACATAGCAAGACCCTACTTCAAAAGATAAAATAGAAAACAAAACAAAGTCTCAGAAAAATATTCTTATCTGTTCCAAACATATACAGATGTTTTTTCTTGTCATTATTCCCTAAACAATACAGTATAAGAGTCTACTGTTACAACATATTTACATTGTATTTGATCTAGAAATAATTTGAAGTAGCATGTACATAGGTTATAACAAAATATCATGCCATTTATAAGGTACTTGAAAATCTGAGTTTGGTACACATAGCAGGTCATAGAACAATCCCCCACAGTGTGCCTATGTGTGTGTGGGGGGAGGTATATACACATTTAGATGTATATATGTGTATATATTTGTGTATTGTATTATATATATATATATATATATATATATATATATGTATATATCTTTTAACTAGTTTATAAGTAAGTGTCTATTATCTTAGGATTAAAAAAACATACCTTTTAGTTGGTGCAGGTATAAATAAATAGAGAAGAAATTCTTGTTCTTAAAGTAAGCTCACATGCTCTGGAACTACAGTAGAGGCAATTGGTCTAGACCTCTAGGAGAGATCTCGACATTTTTAAAATGAATGAAACAATTTTCCACTTTCCTTTGTGAACCCACCACACATACAATGGAAATGGAGACTATTCATTGCAAAGGATTGCTTTCCCATGACATGCAAGCCACAGACATTTGTTGTACTGATATCATGTCTGCTAAATTAAGTAATGAGGAATGTTTTTTAAACCCTATCAGGGTGGAGTTTCATATCCGGTGAACTCCACTGAAGTGTCCTAAATTATTATTAACAAAGTCCTACACATATAAAAGTTTGCCAGGAGGTTTGTTTAGGATATTAAAACATTTTAAATCAATAAGAATAATTTTTTTCTTTGGAGATCTCACCTAACAGACTCATTTTCTTTGTTTTTAATACAAAACAAAGAGCTGATGACTCGACTCTAGAGACACAGTTTACAAATAATTTTATTTTCTTCTGAGTGAGGGAAATTTATTGGAACATCTCGGCAACAGGCATTTCTAACTTTCAAACTCCTTCTCCAAGAGCTTTTCTTCAAACTTCCTAATAGCAGTGTCTCCTCATGAGAACAGTAGGGGGCGCTGCCACAGCAAACTATTATGGCAATGTGAGAGATTCCACTGAGCAAAAAAAAAAAAAAAAAAAAAAAAAACCACAAGGATTCTCCCAAGTCAGTCTGTGTCTAAAAATATTTTTTAGATATTTTTCTCTTCCATCATTCACTTTAGGGTGAAATATTGGGCTTTTTCTTTCTGTTTGTGTGTATGTGTACGTGTGTGGTCTTTAGGGTGAGTAGAAATCCTATATTGCAAATTTGGGGCAACTCAGGAAGGACTAACTGAATACCCTATTCTGGAATATTAGTTAAATATAAGTGGTGAGAATGCATTTAGTAGTTAAGAGACATTCTGTGTGGTACTTTTTTTTTTTTAATATAGCTAAATCTTCAGTCTTTCTTACAAACATTACACTCCAAGTTCAGAGCCAAGATGAAAGAGAACTGTGGGGAAATTTCATTAAATAATCACATAATCCAGGCTCCGTAGGTTGGTTTTTTTTTTTAATAAAAGTTTTCTATGTAATTGAGTTAAGCTTAAATTTATGCATTCAATATAAAAAAAAGTTGCAAATGGTAAAACAAAGACATTGCTCCAACACTTGGAAAATTAAATTCACCAAACCATGAAGTCTACTGTGCAGTTATTTTTGTAACCACCATAAATTGTTTTATAGAACTCTTCTGCCGGCATAAACAATCCAAGCAGAGATTTACTTTACAGCATGCATCCAGTTTCCAAAGGAGAGGCCTCAAAGTTTATGACTCTTTTTCTTTTCTTTCTTACTATTTCTTTCTTTCTTTCTTTTTTTTTTTAATACTTGTGTTTCTAGTTACCTTGAAACCTTCCTGTCTTACATGAGTTCAAAAAGTTCTACAGAAAATAAGATCCAGGTCTGTAGATATACTGTGTCCTCAAATACTCATGGCTGGAGTGAGAAGAAACAATCCTACTTTGTGGAAATAAAGTTTATATGGCAAAATGAAAATAAAGGGGTTTAGTACTAAATATTTCACCATATTTAATAGCACCTCAGAGCCCAATGTTGGATTAGATGGTTCAGACTGTCGGCTTGAAATGTGTTCCCTTCTAGCACTGTAGGAACCCAAATTCAATGCACGCTGCTACAGATAAGAGTTTTAGGGGTCTTTATTCACTCTTTCTTGTGTCCTTGATGAAAAAAACAGAGCTGCCTTTGTGCTAAAAAGAAGGACCTGTTGTTTCCAGATTCAACAGGTCATTTTTATAACAACTTCCCAGAGGATATAACATAAATGACAGAAACACAAGGGGATAGTTTAAGTGGCCGATGATTTTAAATGATATATATTCTATATTAAGGGAAGGTTGTTTGTTTTTCTTTCCAAGAAATGGAAAGTTACTCTTTTAAAAGCATTCAATGTTTGGATATGATTTTTAGGACCAAACCTTTCCTCATGAGCTGAATTACTATAAATTCGGCTTCTGAAATCAATCTGAGGGTGTGCTTGACCCCTCAAGTAAATAAACTTGTCAAATTATGTCCATTTCTGTTTGGTGAATGAATGGTTAATTGAGCAGACTTTTGGAGTATATGTAAATTGTGTTGTAACTCTTGATAATATTGTTTCAGTTAAAATAACAAGAATGAATATTTTATGAACACAATAAACTTTATAAAGTAAAAGTTATGTAGTCCCATAATTTCTCCTTGTACTCGGAGGGAAGAAAAAAAAAGTCAATATTTTATGGCAAACAAAATCCAGGTGACACTACAATTTATGAGTTTGGCCAATTCCTTTATTAAAGGTGGCCTAAATTTGAAGAGATTGACAAATTGAACATTAATGTCTAAATGAGGCTTATTTCCTAAACTGTATTCTCAGAGTTTTCCACAATGTACTTTTTTACTTTTCATATCCTCACCACCTTTTAAAATTAGCTACCTTATTTGTAAAAAGGATTGCTGGAAGCTCCTTAGAAAACTTTTTGCTAGTCCAGAGACAAAAGTTCCTTTTCCCTATAAATATCAAAAGCCCTTTACCGAACTCACTCCTCGCCCCAAACAAAAGTGATTACCAAGGAAGCTTCTTTAAAACTTGGTGACTGGTTGCTGGCACTTGCTGAGACTTAGATTATCCAAACTATGTCCACTCTCCGCCACTTGCACTGTGTCTCTATATGACTTACCACCTCGGATAACTATCTGGCAAAGCGTCAAGGTAAATAAATACCTGATGGTAAGGACTGTGTTAGTCGAAGGCAATTGCCCAAAAGATAAAGAAGAAATAAAAACAGATTTCCTTGGGAGAGGTAACTTAGTAATGGTGAACAGGTTTCTAACTATGGGGCTCAGGAGGCAGTGGGGGGCGATCCCCCCACCCCCTTTAGCTAAATACGCGCATATTTTCACAGAGCAGGAGAAAAGAGATGAGACTGGCTTTGGGGAAAGGGAATCCCAAGTTCCAAAATTATTAAGACAAAAATTTCCCTCCCACTCGCTCCCTCCTTCAACACYCACCTCCCCGCTCCCTCAGAAGAGAAGGTACTTTGAGGAATGGGTTTCTTTTCCTCAACTTAGAGTCGGGTTTGCCTTCGGCAAGAAGCGGGGAGGGAAATGTGGAACCTAGTGGTTCCGAAGGCTCTCAGGAGTCTCCACCAGCCCAGCCCCCCTGCGCTCTGACTCTCCCCGCCAGGGCCTGCGCCCGCTCACCTATACCAAGCGAGTCCCTTGTGGTAGCTGCGATCGAAGAAGTGGGGCTCCGCGCCCACAGCGCGCACGTCGGGGTGTACGCGCAGGAACTCCAGCAGAGCCCGTGTGCCGCCCTTCTTCACGCCGATGATGATGGCCTGCGGCAGCTGCTTGCTGCCTTCGTCCAAAAGTAGAGCCAAGGTCCCCGGCGGAGCCTCCGCCACGCTGCTTCCCGCCCCTGAACCTCCGGGACTGGCTGCTAGGCCAGGGGTCTCCTCTACCCAGGCTGCCTCGTCGTCGCCGTCGTCTCGCGGCACGGGAGGACGGCGTCTCCGCCACTGCTGCAGTTGCAGGAGACGCTTTCTGTGCGCCACCGCGGGCCACACCGCTAGCTCCCTCGGGCCTCCGGCCAGGACGCCTCGACCTGGGGCCCCCGCCTCCTCGCCGCCGACCGACAGCCCCACGACGGGGCCGGACAGGGTCTGGCAGCGCTCGGCCAAGCAGTAGAAGACGTAAAGGGACGTGAGCAGGGAGCAGAGCATCAGTAAGAACTTCCGGAAGATGCTGCGGGACAACGGCTCGATCGAGGTGGGGTGGGCGCCGGCTGGGCCCGGAGGGGCCATCCTAGCCGGAGGCGACTTGGGGCAGCGCGCGGGCCATGCTAGGCCGGTACTCCGCCAGGTGCCATGACATCCCCTAAGCGGGCCTGCGCTCTGGACCGAGGCCACATAGGCTGTGCGCCCCTGCGGCGGTGCGAGCTACCCTGGGAGGCGGCAGCCGGGCTCCTCCAGGGAACCGAGCACCGGGAGCCCTGAGCGGGATCCCTGCCTCCAGTCGAAGGGGAGAAGAGGGGGGGACCGATGCCGTGCTTAAGAAACCATCGTCTTAGGTCTTAAACTCGCCCAAATCTTGAGGCTTGGGGGCAGCGCTCGCGCCCCAGTTCCCTAGGAGTCGCTGGGATAGTGGCGAAGAAGTGCGACTCAGCCCAGATCCTGAGCGTCCTCTCCCGCGGATCTCCCTCAGAGGTCGTGCATTCTGGGTTTGGTCCCCGTAGAAGGGACGCGCGGCTCCAGGGCCGCTGAGCTGCGTGCGCTCCAGACAGCGTTGAGCGACTGTGCCCCAGACCCTGCTTCCTCTGGTCTCCTTGCCCGACTGGGCGCGCCCTCTAGGTCTGGGCTTGGATCCTCCTGGTGCGAGGTGCCCCCTAGTCCCTCTGTCCGAGAGTGACCCAGAAGGCCTACGCCCCGAGCAGTCCACCCAGCTTGGTGCGCTCCAGGAGGCTGCAAACTGTTCTTGGGCCCCACCTGTGAGCCGCGTGGCACAGGCTGGCTGCGCGGGACCTGTCAGCGGCTGCGGTCCCAGTTCTCGCAGGCGCTCCACTGCCGCCTCCCAGGCCGCCGCAGCTACACGTGGGGCGCGGAGGGCAGCAAACTTGGCGGTGACGTCAACGGCCCGGGCGGGACCAGCCCCCGGACCAGCGCAATGGGGCGCAGACCGCGGCGTAGGGGCTGGGCCAGTCGGGCGGGCGGGGTGAGATGGAGAAAAGGTGGTGCGGGCTCCACAGCGGCGGCCCAATGGCACTGGAGAGGGCGGGGGCGATAGGGGAGACGCCCCTTCCTCACTGATCCAGCTCACTCTCGATTGTCTTGCCCCTTTCCAGACAGCGGAACTGGGGGCTGCCGGGGCTCCGGGATTGTCTGACTGACAGCTAGCGCCAGTCCTATCCCTAGGGCCTGCCTTCCACCCAGAGGGCCGCTCGCTCGTTTAGGGGTTGCCAAACCTTTCCAACTCTGCTCAGAACTTTGCACCCTTGATCCTTTCCAGATTCCCGGCGATCTGCCTCCCTCCTGCTTCTGCTTCCACATCGGTCAACCCCTTACCCCTTCCCATCGCCTTGGTCCTTCTATCTCCTGAACCTTTGGAAGTTTTTTTTGCAGCGGTGCCCAGTATCATGCTGCAAGCCATGTCTCCATTTGTCTGGGGCAAACTGAATTTATCGCAACGGCTGTCCTTTGCGGGCCCTCGAACAAAGTTATATATATATATATATATATATATATATAAATGGGGGGGCTCCCTTGAATTTATTTAGAATGATCCAAGATCCTTCAGAGCCTAGAAGTGAACCAGAAAATAAATCAGACAAAAATTAAAGATTTTTTTAAAATCAGCTCTGATTCCAAATCCGTATGCCCAGTTTTTTATGAAATGTCTTTTAGTTAATGTTGTGTGTATGTGTTTATGTGTGTGMGCGCGCGAGCGCTCGTGTGCTTCAAGGGGTTAAATGCCCTTTCATAAACAGAGATTTCCTCTTTCTCTTGCCTTCCCTGACCCTATATCCTCTTCACACACTCCCCAGAGAGCAGGTCTGAAAAGGATACCTACCGCCTTGCTGTTTAATGGCAGGAGGTGGCCGGTGGAACCCGCATGAGGTGGGGTTTTTGTTCCAGTCCTATTTGTTCCYTTTTTTCTAGGCTTCCTTGTCTCCCCAGGACACTTTGCAATGTGGGTGGTGGCCTGGCAGCTTCATTCCAATCCCTCTAAATTGTGGAGGCAGTTTTCTGGAGAGGCCACAGCTGCAACACCACCCAGGTGTAAGGAAATTCATTAGGAATTCCTGTTGCCTAGTGTTGGGGCTTGATGTATTTTCCCTCATTTTACTTCCGATATTCTACTTGGCCTTGGAAGTGGAAGTCGCCTTTAAAGGGGAACCTAACTCTGGGCTTGGATGGAAAGGATGTATTTGTTCCCTGCTAGAAAAGTACTCACTGCTGGATATGGTTTTATGTATCAACTACCATCCCGCCATCAATGATTACATTCTGATGTTATAGACCTTTGGACTTTTATGAGAATGAACAGCAAATCCTGCAAACTTTAATATCCTCTTGTGTCCTAAAATTGGATATTGACAAACCAGTTGAGATTTAATACTAGCTTTAAGTTTAATACATTCCCAAACTTTTCTCCAATTATTTGAGCCTGCTTTGCTAAAGGAAGAAAACAAAGACCATTTGAAACCAAAAGCGTGCAATTCCATACATGCTTACAAACATGGCTGGGTTTCCTCATCTGGAAAATGTTGGGCTCCAAGTTTGTTTGTAGCTCCAATGTGATCTGATATGGTGTGTTCCTGCTTTCTCATTGCAAGCATGGGTATTTCTTTTATGTGGGTATTAAAGACTCATACTGGGTTGGAAATATGATTCTCACCATCCCTCACACATCTAAGGCAGCTCTGTGCATTATAAGTCACAAATATGAGCCATGTAGGTAACTTAAAAGTTTTGACTGAATTTTATAATCTAAAAAGCAAGTAAAAAACAGGTAAAACTACTTCTCATCTCTAAATGTGTGCTTTTAACATGTAGTCAGTACAAAAATTATTGAGGTCATTTATGTTCTGCTGTGGTTTGAAAGTCCCCTCCAAACCTCATATTAAAATTTAATTGCAGGGGCTGGGATTGTAGTTCAGTGGTTGAGCGCTTGCCTCTCATGCATGAGGCACTGGATTCCATCCTCGGCATCACATAAGAATAAAATAAAGATATTGTGTCCACCTAAAGCTAAAAAATAAATAYTTTTTTTTAAAATGTCATTGCCATCATGACAGTATTAAGAGGTAGGAACCTTAAGAGATGACTAGGTTATGGGGACTCTCCCTTCACAAATGAATTAAGGCTATTATTTCCCAAGTGTGTTAGTTATAAAGGAGGGAATTCAGTCCCCCTTTTTTTATCTGTCTGGAGCACTTTACTTGCCATCCCTTCTACCTTTTGCCCTGGCATGATGCAGCATGAATGTTCTTGCCAGATGCCAGCCCCTTGCTCTTGGACTTACAAGCCTCCAGAAGAATGCTCCAAATAAGTTTTCATTATTTATTATTTACCCAATCTGAGATATTCTGTCATAGCAGCAGTAAAAAGACTAATACTCATTCATTTTTTTTTCCATCCTAAGTCTTTGGAATCCAATGTATTTTATATTTCCAGAACATCTTGATTGGAACTAGCCACCACATTTCAAATGTTAAATACACACAGGGGGCCAGTGGCTACTCTGGTAGAACACAAAGGTGAAGATGTTGTTTTGGTGGCAGGAGTGTATGTTGGGTTCTCATTAGAAGTCAGACAACACATTTAAATTAAGCTAATTTATGGAGAGTTAATTGACAATAAAAATGTTTACAAAGGAGTAGCAAAGACAGAGTCTAACTATAATCCTGGTCTAGAAGCGGGGAGCAGTTATCACGCTTACATGTAAAGGCATAAAGGAAAGGAAAGTTGATTGAAACTAGAAGGCAAAAGTCACATAGAAGCAGCATGCTTCACTGTGAGACAGCTTGCTGAAGTCAGTCTCCTAGGGGGAAGAGTCAGGAAAATAAATGTTCTTGACATGACAATAGGGGATAGGTGGGTGGTGTTGCATCTGATCATGACAAAACCCAAGACGTGGGATTAAAGTCTTTCCATCGCATTCTCTTAGAAAAATGCTTTCTTTCATGTATTCAGAAGTATTGATTAGAATGGAAGCAAGTCAGAGCTAATAATCATTATGGTTCTTTAAAGGGGAAAAAAAAAAGTGCCTTACTAAATGCCTACTCAAACACCAGAAAGTACAATAGACTTTACCACCCAGTTTCTTCCTGTTTCTCCCTTTCTCTTTGTAATTCCATCTTAAAGCCTATCTCACTCCTCAAAAAAGCATAAAGCTCTCTCTTGGTCGGCTTCTCCTTGATGAAGTAGGTGAGGTTTATATTCAGGGACTTTTGAATTGCCTCTCTGTCCCCTTCTCTACTCCTTAATGGGATATCCATTCCTGAGATGTCACTCTGTGTCCTCTAAGGCATCTGAACATCAAATCCTTCCCAGCTTGGATATTATGGATCCATTACGTTGTTGTGAAACAGGTTATTTATCTCTTACCACATGGGGTTTACATTCTAAAGTAAGGAGTATGTTTTAAAATGACATCCTCCCACCTGCTAAAGTATCAATAAGGCACTTTCATTTAAAAATGACAATTTAATATGTAATATAAAAATTCACAAAGGGAAAAAAAAATCACTCCCCAAATTTCACTGATCTAAAAACTCAAGTGATAAGGTTAGTTTCCCTTAAATGTCTCATCCCCCACCCCCGGCACTCACTCTCTCTCTCTCTCTCTCTCTCTCTAGAGAGAGAGAGAGAGAGAGAGAGAGAGAGCTTTCCTGGATTTTTTACCTTCCCTTCCCAGGATATGAGCAGATCCATGAGACACCTGTTATAGCCCTCCAACACCCCATTTCTTTCCTCTTTCTCCCCCAGTTTCATTCCTGCCTCCATCTCCTCCCAAGGCACCACTCTGGCTAAATTGATTTGGAAGTCAGAATGCTCAGGAGACCATTTATGTCATATATCCAGGTCAACCTCTTGAAGCAGGAGGAGAGGGCAGTATGGATCTAGGAGCTCTCAGTATGTTCTGTCTGTGGGGGAAAGGTGACTTACAAGAGCTTATCATCTTCGTGAGCCAAAACATGCACACACTGCTTAAATGTAACCTTGAGTTATATTCAATGAACTACCAGAGATTTTGCTCCAAATTCAGTTCTTCGATGTGCCTTTTTCCTTCCTGTCTCAAGGCA